CAGAAAAAGAAAAAAACTGGAAATTGAATTAAAACGAAAAGGGCCTCTCCGTTGCACCGAGGAGACGCAACGAGGAACTCTACTGGAAACGCAGGCGTCACGACGAAAAAACCCTCGACCAAGTTATCGAGGACAGCCTCGGACACGAGGCGAGGGCAGGAAGCGGAAATACCTCTCCGCGCGCAAGCTAGAATTCAGGCGCGCCTGAACGCACGGCCCGTCATCACGAAGAAAGATCATCGGCATCAGCAGCAGCAGCAACAGCAACAGCAACAGCGACAGAACAACACGGTTAGTGGCGGCGGCGGCGGCGGCACGCTCAGGCCATTGTCAGACATCATGCAGAAGAATGGTCAAAATGAGAAGGAGGTAGATATTGTTCATAACGGACCACGATTAAATATTATAATTGAACCCCGTTACACGCGGGCCTTTCGAACAACGATCTGTTTACGAAAGGAAAGATCGAGCTGCGTAACGAATCTTTGCAAACGTGTCCAGGGTAGAAACGACAACTGGAAACTTTTCGTCGTATCTAACACTGATCTCGTATACGTTGATCGCGACGTACATAGTCGCGAGATCCTTCGGTGAACGAGAGCAGTCGAGTGCAACGAGCGTAAACGCATCTGTGCGCTCGGGTCACGCACACGACTCGCAGTCTGTGCCTCATCTGTTCGAGCTAGAGTAACGCGGATGGCTTCCCTTACCCGTTAGGTCGTGCGAAGGCGTATCCCTTAACGATCGTGAGATCCGTCAAAGCCGATTAACCACCTCGCGTAACCCGCTTCAGCCTCTCGCTCTCTTTTTTTTCCCTTCTTGCTCTTTTTCTTTATTCTTCCTCTCTTTTTCGCTTCGAGTCAGCAGATTGCACGCGCTTCGTGCCAAAATTTCGCTCCGATAGCACCTGGCGTGGAGCGGCGTTGTCGCATACCGCCTTCCTTTGCCAAGCCTCGAATCGCATGCTGCTCGAGATGCAAACGACAACCAAAAATGCTATTGAACTCGAACCTCGTCGCATTGTTGCGACTTTTCATCTAGATTCTAGCATGCCTTCTTACATACGTAGAAAGAAAAAAGGTAGCTCGTGGTCGATTCGGTGTGATCAGCTGACCAGGCGAAAACTCGGTTTAGATCGGGCGGCACGGGGAGCAGCGGTGATCCGAGAAAGTCGGTGAAAGGGGTTGGGCGGGAGACGGGGCGGTGGTGGCACTTATTTCCGAGGTTGGCGCATGCGCGTATCCCAATCGTCGTCGTCGTCGTCGTCGTCGTCGTGGTCGTAGTCGTAGTCGTAGTCGCGATAGTCGTGTCAGGGCAACTGTAGGGGTGGCAGCAGACCGAGGGAGTGTGGGGGAGAGAGAGAGAGAGAGGAAGAGAGAGTTGGGATAGCTCGGCTTTCAAGGGTGGTTCGCTTGCACGCTAGGCAGGCAGCAGGGGGTGGCGGCATTACGCGTATTGATTCTCCTTTCGCATCCCTCGGCTGTGAACTCCTCTGGCCGAGGAGGAGAGCGAGTCTATCCGCTTGTGCGAGGGCAAGGGAGAAGGTAGTCGCGCACACGGTCGTCGTCGGACGACCGCGACGACGACCAACCAGCTCTCCTCTACTGGTTTTCGATTCGATGGACGAGGACGCGGTTCGCTAGACCCACAGTCTTTGGAAGAAGGCCGGCAATTGTGATCAGTGACGTCAGACGCGTCCGCGTCCGTGGCACGCCTCCGGAACCTCCGCTTTCTTTTTCTCTTCCGTTCGAGCCACGTCGAATCTACGAACTGCGGGGAACGGTTCGTTTAACGGTTCGTCGCGACGCGCACGGCACCAACTCTACCGTTCTTTCGTGCGTGCGTGCGTGCGTGCGTGCGTGCGTGCGTGTGTGCGTGCGTGCGTGCCTGCCTGCCTGCCTGCCTGCCTGCCTGCGTGTGTATACGTGTGAAGCCATCCTTCGATGCAAACGCGACGAACAGTGTCCAGTGATACGTGCCGAACGATAGACAATCTTCTCCTCGCGATTAACATATTCGACGTTTCGACGCTCTCCGATTCGTTTCGAGCGTATACCG